AGAAAAGAAGAAATAAAATATCTCTTCCACACAATCCTTCAAATAGTTGAACATAATGGCCATATCCCCTAATCTTCTCCCTATCAAGCAAAATTGAAACAAAAGGAAAAGTGGTACTGGGAAACAAAGCAAGTAGGCCAATCCATGGCACCCTCAGAAGAAAAGAGGGTGACAGGCAACCTGCAGGAGCCCAAAAGTGTCTGAAGAAATGTGTACTGAAAGGATTCCCATTATCCTATGCTGCTTACCTCCTACCCTTTCTCCTTCCTCTCTCAGCCCCCTGAACACCTCCTTTTCCCACCTTTGACTTCCCCAAGTCTCCACTCTGCGTGCACATACACACACACACACACACACACACACACATATATATATATACATATATGTGTGTCTCTATATGTGGGTATATGTGTGTAAAACATGTAACATAAAAACATATAAAACAATAACATACATATGTTGTATACACATAATTTTATATACAAATAGCAAATATATACATACATTTGTATATATGCATAATAATTTTTTAAAAAGAAAAATAAAAGGAAAAAAATCAGCAAGAGAGGGGGAAGGAAGGAAAGAGAAAGGAAAATTCATTTATGTAATGCCTACCTTGTGTTAAAACAGTGGGTTAAGCAATTTTACAAACATTGTCTCATTTGATCCTCACAACAATGCTCGGTGCTATTATTATCCTCATTTTACAGTTGAGGAAACTAAAGTAAATAGAGGTTAAGAGACATGCCCAACCAGTATCCTCTACTGCCCTGCTCACATTCCTGCTTTTATTATGGATATCTGCCAGGTCAAAACAAAATCTGGCTTTATTTTTGTATTATGGACAGTGCAAAGCCTCTCTGTCTCCCTCCTTTCATTTCCATTTTTACGGAACAATTGATAATTTTTCAAAGGCACATAGAGGTTCTCTTAAACATTGCTTTTTACTTTTATGATTTTAAGCCTCTTAAAAATAAATCATCATTATTTTCTTGAATCAAGTTGCTTCCATTTGACCAGCTCAAGTGATCCCCATCCAAATACAGTGTGACCTAGAAAAGTCAGCTGCTCTGTCAGTGCCTGAAGGCTTCTGTGCTGAGCAAGGTTACTTTCATGTTCCAACCTGTTGTTAAAATCATCCCAGAATCTTCCACACTAGAAGCCAGAAAGAGACTTATAGCTTGGCCTACAAATAATAGGTCAGACTAGGTTAAATAATTTCAGTACTTCAGAGAACTCAGGAACTGCTTCTGAAGGGAGGCCAAGCTAAATGACAGTATCACCTTTCCAGTTCCCTAGTTTCATCTCAATTCTAGTAGTTACACTGCCAAAAGGGCACAGGATTATGCATTTTTTGCCATGGGAAAAATGATATCCTTTAAGATTATTTCCTGGGCTCCCCATGGGGCTAACCCATTACAAACTGTGAGAAGATTCATTGTCAAGTGTTCCACTGCATACTTGTCTATTTCTAGAAAAGATCCTGGGGGAGGGAAAAAAATCAAAGAATTTCATAGAATTTTCTTTCATAGGTGTACTATAAACAAGGTGCTAGTGTGAGGATAGCTGGAAAGGAAAGATATCACAAAAACTCTATGATCATATTTCAACTTTCACTGCATATTAGTAATATTCACTAGTGCTACATTTGAGGATTTAGAAGCTGTGTGTAACATCTAACAAAATGTGAGAACAGCCACGTGACTAAAGTGTAATTACTCTAGACCAAGAGAAAAAGGAGAAAGAGAAAGAGGAGGAGGAGGAGGAGTAATAACTAACATTTTTAGAGCACTTTAAGGTTTACAAAGCACTTTTCAAATATTTCATTTGATTCTCACAACAATCCTGGGATGTAGATGCTATAATTATCCCCATTTTATGGGGGATAAATGGGAGAAACTGAGGCAGACCAAGATCATGTTACTGGTCCAGAGGCACATCTTTAGTAAGTGCCAAAGATGGGATTTGAATTCAGGACTTCCTGATTCCAAGTCCAACAATCTATTCAAGGTACTAGCACAACTCAAAAGCAGTATCACCTTGAGCAAATCACTTCTCCTCTCTTAGGATCAGTCTTCTCATCTGAAAAATTAAAGCAATGGACTAGGTGAACACCAAGGTTCCTTTGAGCTCCAAAATTATATTCCGAGAATTGACTTGGAGTCTGATTTTTTTCCCATTTACAAAAAAAAAAAAAGTCTTAACATCTCAGCCTCAGAGTATCATTCATACAGAGTTAATACGGTCTTTTTAGAGTACTGCATTTAACACTTCAGGTTCATGCAAAAGGTGATAGGAGAAAAAAAAAAGTAGATAATTATTATCCCAGAGGGTAATGATAATTTTTTCTTAATCTTCATCCTTCTTGACTTCTCTATTAGCATTTGACACTCTTGACCAACTTCTCCTCCTGGATACTATCTATTCCATGGTTTTTCTAGACACTACTCTACTGGCTTCTCCTCCTATGTGTTGTTTTTCAGAAAAGATTCTTTGCTCCATCATTCATTTCTTACCCACTATAATGGGCATCCTTCAAGGTTCTGTCCTAGGACTTTTCTTTTTCTGTTCACCCTCTCTCTTGGTGGCCTCCCATGTCTATCTATCTATCTATCTATCTATCTATCTATCTATCTATCTATCTATCTATCTATCTATCTATCATCCGTCTATCCATCTATCCATCTATCCATCCATCCATCCATCCATCCATCCATTTATCTATCTATCTATCTATCTATCTATCTATCTATCTATCTATCTATCCTCATTATCTCTTTCCTAAAGTCCCGTTGTACATCATTAATTACCTTCTTGACATTTCCTGCTGGTTATTCTGTAGGGAATCCGAGTTCAACATTTCCAAGAGAAAATTCATTATTTTCTTCTCTCCTCCCCCCACTCCAGAAAAGGACCACTCCTCTAAACTTCCTTATTTCTGATGGAAGTATACCATTTTTTCACTTAACGAGATTTACAACTTCAGAATCATGCCTGCTCCTTCATCTTATATGTGCAATCAATTGTCAAATCTTGTTAATTTTTCTTAGGTGGTGCCACCCGAACTAAGCCTTAAATGGAACTAGGGATTCCAAGGTGTTGGGATAAGGAGGGAGAGCATTCCAGGCATGGAGAACAGCTTATACACAAACATAGAGGTGAATGATGGAATATAGAATATAGGGAACAAGATGTCAAGCTTGACTATAACATAGTGTGTCAAGAGGAGAAATGAGAAATAAGTCTGGAAAGATAAATTTGAGATTCCTTGTGAAGAGTTTAAAATACCAAATAGAAGAATTTGTATTTCATACAAGATGGCCACTTACAATACTATTTGAACACTATGTTTTCTATGCACTTTAGAAAAACAGTTAAACAATCCCTGGGGGTGGGGGGTGGGGGAAGGGCAGGGCTGTGGGGAAATCAATGACTGTCTACTTGGCACCTGGTGGAGAAAAAAGAAAAGATCAGGTTTTTCACTTTTCTATTGGAGGAGTTGGTGACTTTTAGGGGGAAGTTAAGCTAGGAAAGAGATACTTGCTACCAGAACCCAGGGTAATGGTATCTGAAAGAGAACTCTGGTGCATCATAGACTGTGATTTGCATATACTCTTCTTGATGCTTCCTCTTTAAGCCTTGACCTCATTATTTAATGGTCTAACTAATATTAACCTAACTAATTAATCTAATTATTAATCTAACTAATAATAAACTCAAACAAGTTTAAGCTGTTAAAGACAGAGAAGAAAGGGGGGAACCTAGGTTTTAGTGAAAACCACACTGCCTTAGATGCTACTTATAATAGAAATGAGTTGAAGTTTTCGGTTGCTGCTAGTTACTACAGGTCTTGAACTTTTGGTAGGTGAGAAATATGCATATGTTTTCAACATAGCATGCTATTTTTGAGGAAAGTTTTCCTTTGAACATGTCATTGCCAAAGTGGGAGAATGTGGTGTGATGAGGAAATACTTAGATTTATAAAATGGCATCTGTTGTGGCAAATTTGTTCATTGGGAGAAGGGCTAAGGGCAGCGATTATTGTCAGCACTATTTTTTTGAGTCTTTTTTTTCTTAAACTATGATTAGGTTTTCTTCTTTTTGTCTGTTTTCATATGATGTTTCATACCAAACAGAAAAATGCAAATCTGGCTGCTGTCTCAGTTGTCATTTGAATCAGCCCAATCAGTTTTGTCATTTGTGACAGCAAAGAGAGTTCCATTGGCTGAAAAATTATTGATCTGGTGTCCAATGGAAATTCATTTCTAGTGCCAGTTCATTTCTGAGATCGCAACTTTCTTTTCAGTTGCTTAGAATATATTATTCAGAAATTGAATTGAAGCCCTCTGAACACCCAAAGGACAGTTCAGGGTTAGAGCTGGAAAGGACCTAAGAGCTCACTGATCCCAAGACACTACAAATTCACAAGTGATAAGTAGCAGAGCTAGGATTTGAACACAGATCTTCAAATTCTAAATCTAATATTCTTACCACATTTTGATACTACACTTTCTCAGCCAACTTAACTTTGTAATTACATACTACAAAAAAAAATTACTTTTCCTATTTCTTCACATGAAAAGCATTTTCCTGTGAAAAACCGTATTTATTTGCTTATACAATGGTCTTCATTGCTGTATGTCAGAGGCAGCCATGCCTAACATCAGCCCAAGTCAGGAAAGCTGAGACCTTGGCCATAGGTCATTGTTGAATGTTCCAACTTGAGAATAACAGTAACCCCCCAGTGTTCTGATTTCCCCAGGTGTAAAATAAGAAAATATCACTAGGTAAAATCAGTGGAATTCTTTGAAATCTTTAGTATAGGCTATAAAGTTAGACAATTTTAAATTATTCATTTATTATTACTTTTATTGCTCAATTGCATACTATTATGTATTATAATGGGAAGAATAGATTGTAAAAAATCTGAACATTAAATTAGTTTGGATTAATGCTATGATGTGTTTTTTAAAGTTTATATTTTGTTTTCTTTATTTCAGGTTTCTTTTCTCCTTGGAAAACTCCAAAGCCTGTAAGTTGGTACCATTATAATTTTTTTCTGTGGTTCTAATGGTGGTATACATTTCTATAAATGTTTATCAGTAGTTTCCCTATATAACATAGCAGCAGCACAGTACAGTAGAAGGAGCATTGAACTTAGAGTTACAAGGCCTAAGTGTGAATCTTAGTTCCACCTGTGTGACATTGCACATATCATTTAGCCTCTCCGGGCTTCAGTTTCCTCATCTGAGCTTTTCTAGCTCTGAATCTATGAAAATGTGATCCCATGAGTACTATAGATGGTCTCTTACAGTTCTCAAGCTATGATCCCATATCAAAAGAACAAATGTCCTTTTGTTATTTCTTAATGCCAGATTACCATAGACTAAATTAAAAAGTTACCCTTCATTTCTGTCTCCTTTGTACTTTCAAAATTCAAATTTAAGAGCCCCATTGGAATTGTAGCTTCAAAAGAATTCCTTAAGTATTTCCCAATAAATCTCTAATATCCCTCTCAGAAAACACTATGGTCTTTTTGGCTAATACACCATTTATTAAAACTATCTCAATTAGCATGGATCAACAAGTCCAGAGAGTATGAAAGAAGTTAATATAGGCCTACCTGAAAAGAATTTAGCTCTGTGCAAATAAAAATATTTAATGTAAGCTAAATCAGAATTCACAGAATCACAGTAGTGACCGATAGTTTTCAGTTGAATGACGTTCACTTTTTTTAAACACTCGTTTAACTTCTCTGAGACTCAGTTTCACTCATGTGAAGAAATCGAGAGCCAGCAAGCTAAATGACGGTCTGCTGAACCATCATTTGCTATATCTCCATGCGGCTGCCAGATCAACTCAGAACCCAAATTTTCTCTCATGAGACAGCCTAAAACATTGATAAGAGTGAACAGGCTGGTAAATGTATTTAGAGGTTGATAGATTTTGTCTATCTCTTTGACAGAGTTGAATTAGTAGTTGTAGAGGAACTCAAATTGCTAGAAGGGAAGGAAATGCATAGTTATGTTACTGTTTAGTCATGGATTCAGTTGTGAGGATTAAATTTATGGTGTGTTAGAAGAGTTCATCCTGCTCTAAATTTTTGTGAAAATCACGCAAGTGAAAGACTTGCAGCAGCATGATTAAATCAAGAAAAGCATTGGGCCCAGAGACAGCATACTTTCTCCTCATGTTTTCAAAATTTGCCCTTTCTCGTTACTCTTCTGATTCTGCCTGGTAAGGAGGAACTCTAATTGTTGGCCTGGCCAGTAAGTTAGAAATTCTTTAAATTCTGTGTGCATACATATGTGTGTTTATGTAGCATGTATATGTGTCACTGGTTTAGAAACTCACTTGGTTCACTTCAGCTGGGAAAGTATGATAAAATTTACTATTTTACAAGGATATCTTCTAGCTAAATGAGGTGTCTTTAAAAATGACGTGGAGACCTACACCGCAGGAAAACTCATTATTATCGATTCTAATAGAAAAGTTACCAGTATATTAATCTCTGCTTTGGGCTTCTCTCAGACAGAAATGGGGAAACCAGTAATTGGAGAATGAACCTGGACACATGCTTCTGGGGCTAAAGGAAATTATCAACATTATTTAGGATTTGCCCCTCATTTTCAACAGAGAACCTCAGATTAGAAATTATTCTGCATTCTTAGCAAACCATTTAATTTAACACATGACTATGAAAAGAGGGGACTTTGAACGTATTTAATCTGGCCCAACAGAGAGGGCATTTAAATTGGAGTCAAAGAACCTGATTTTGTATTCTAGCTCTGTGTCACTTGCTAACTGTGTAACCTTAGGCATATTCTTTGGCCTCTCTGAGCCTTGGTTGTCTTATCTGTAAAATGGGGGGAAAAGTGATGATTGCTCTACTTGTCTCACAAGATTGGTGCGAGGAACAAATGAAATAATATGTGTGAAATGTTTTATAAATTATGAAGTATTATATTACGTCATTGTGATCATTTATCATTATCTAGTTTTAGTGTATTCTTTTAGCCAAAATTCCCAGTCCTAATTCCTTTTGCCCCAATCTTTAAAACAGTGTGCTTTGGTATTGTACACTTTCTTATTGAATTTAACTAGACACTTTATAGCACCATCACATTGCTACAATTATGCAATCTAGTGATTTCCTTATATGTACCACATTTATACGGATTATGCCATTTGATGTAATTACAGCATTTGCTGTCATTATAGTAATTACATCCATAGTCAATAGTTCCAAAAAAGGTTTCTCAGAACCTAATTTACAATTAATCTTGAACCCATGCTGCCCCAAAAAACAAAGCAACAGCAGCCAAGCTCTGAACTTCCAGTACCCCAGTCTTGCAAAGGGAATTTGTCACTTTTGTACCAGATTCATGAATCTCCCTAAATTTTCTCGGCTCCAAAGGTTTCCATGCTTCCACCAAGTTCCCACTGAAATCACCAACAGTTCTGTTTGAGGGACAAGATGCTAGATTTCTGTTCTGAGATGTGGAAACTTTCGCTTGTCTGATAAGCCTTCTATCTTGGGGAACATTTTTGTCTGTCACACAGGAATATAGACACCAAGAGACCAAGGCAAGCTTGAAGAGGCCATGATAGGGACTCTAGCTATGCAGGAAGGGTATGGAAGATCCCATAGACCAAGTCAGGAAACGGATTGGGGTGATGATTAATATAGAAAAGAACAAGCCAGTCCTATGAATCTAGTCAGGAAATTAGAATCTGATGTCTAGAATAGGGGTGGGAAACCTCTATGTGGGGCCTCAAGGTCATATGTGGCCATCTAGGTCCCCAAGTACAGCCCTTTGACTGAATCCAAACTTCACAGAACAAATCCCCTTAATAAAAGGGTTTGTCTGTGTGACCCTGGGCAAGTCATTTAACCCCAATTGCCTCACCAAAATAATAATAATAATAATAATAATAGGATTTGTTCTGTAAAACTTGGACTCAGTCAAAAGGCCACATCCAAGGACCTAGAAGGTCACATGCAGCCTCTAAGCCACAGGTTCCCCATCCTGGTCTAGGAAATGAGGGCAGGTGTGTACCATCACAGGGTAATTGATTTAGCACTAGTAGAGGTCTCAGAAACCATCTATTCCAACCCCCTCATTTTACAGATGAGGAAAATGAAACCCAGAGAGATCAAGTAACTTCCCCAAAATCACACAGCTAGTAAGCGATAGAACCCAGTCCAGATAAAAGGGCAATATCCAAAATTCAAGAATTCACTGGAAATAGGAAGAAGCAAGAAGATACAATGGAGCCAAATAGGTCAGCAACCAGAACCTAAATCCCAAATCAGGTAAAGGAAGAGCCAGAGAGCACTGAACTCCCCACATTAGAATGTAAGGCCCTTGTGATTAGGTATTATTTGCCTTGGTGCCTAGCACACAGCCTCAAACATAGTTGGCATTTAATAAATTCTTGTTAATTGGCTAATTGACATAAGCAGTACAGAGCCCAGAGATGAAAAAACCTAATAGAACAGCAAAGCATATGGAGACTGTGTGTAGTTCAAAGTAGTGAACAGAACCCAATGGCAAAGAAGGAAACCCAGAAGCAGACAGTTACTGTGGGTACTGATAGAGTAGTAACATTCAGAATTCAACTAACATAATTAAATGGTTCAGAAGGAATCATACTAGAAAGTAAGATTGAGACCTCCTTCTAGCTTCAAGGCCATCTGCCTTCCGCCCTGGTTTTAGGTCCCCTTCTAGATGGGTGCTGGCATGGGCTCGCTTTTAAATGTTCATAACTGGGAGAGGAAGAACCCTGCAGATACCAATGACAGGAGAAGGCTTTACCATTTCTGGAACAGTCTTAGCCTGAAAAGCAATAGTTGTTATTCTATAAATTTTTCTCCAAGTCATTTTCATGAGTGCCATGGTTTGGAGCTTTTAAAATCACCTGATGAAATGGCTTGAAGTGTTGATGAATGACACAGCAAAAAGTTGTGAATGCTTTCCTAAGAACACACAGGACTAGAGACAGATTTCCCATCCTCTATGCTTTAGAATGTCTAGAGTTTGTTACTCTGCCATGGGAATTAGCTGACTCTGCCAAACAATGCTGGTGGCATTTTTGGCTTTGTAGTTTTGAAATTGTTTTTTAGATCTCCTAATATTTCACCTGAAACACTCTTGCTTCACTGCACTGTATATGAACTAATATGTACCCCAGCAAGATATTTAGGGGTGACATCACCTGCCTTGCAAAGATGGGGAAAACAACAAGACATGAGCACAAGCCCTATTACAGCAAATAGAACACTGGCTGTATAGTTTAAGTTTATATACTGTGTTTATAAAACTTGTCAGGATTGAACACCTTATGCGTGAAGTGCTTAGGGAGGCAGAAATCATACAAGAGAAAGAACACTGGATTAAGAGTATGTGAGCCCAGGTGTGAATCCTTCCTCTGCTGCTCATTTACTACCTACATGACTTTGGGCAAGTCACTTAACTTCCTTATCCTCCAGTTTCTTAATAAGGGGGTTGATCTACACCAAGCGTTCTTAACTATGGATAGATTTCGAGGCGTTTGTGATTGGGGTGGGGGGAATGACATCTTTATTTTCACTAATCTCTAACCAAAATTTAGCATTTCCTTCCATTATAAATGTAGGCAACCAACCCTTTCCCTGAGAATATTGTTCTTTAAACAGTGCCTAATACATAGTAAGCATTTAATAAACACTTTATCTGTCTGTCTGTCTCTCTCTCTGAGAATAGTCCATAGCCTTTGCCAGATTGTAACAAAACCCCACGATACCAAGAAAGAAAGAAAAAAAGAAAGAAAAGAAAAGAAAAAGAAAAAAAAGGATAAGAACTCCTGGCCTAGAAGATGACTAAGATGCCTTTCAGCTCAAAATCTATGGTCTCATGATTTTAAAAGCATGTTGAATTGACCATATGAAACTTGGAAGTAAAAGAAGAAAGTTGATTAAAAAAAAAAAAACTATATTGCTCATTCAGTGTAGTTAGCATGACAAAAATGGGAAATTTAATTTAACTCCAAAAGTGCAATATTTTTTCATATCAATCATTAGCATTCAGAGCAGTTTTTTTCTAAGAGAATAAGAACTATTGACTGAATAATAAAGCACAGTGCAATACTTTTAAAACACAGATTGTAAGACCACTCTACAGACACTTTTACTGTATTGAGCATACTTGACAGGGAACAGAAAGGTTAACATCAAACCACAAACTCATCAGTCTGCTCCCCAAGTTGCTATGTATTTAAGCAACTATGTCCTAGCTACAGTTACAGTCCTAGCTTTGTTACTAGGTGACTGTATGACCTAGAAAAAGTTGTACCCATTCTAGGACTCTGTATCCCCATCATTAGAATGAGAGGGTTAACCATATGATCTCTAAGGTCCTTTCCAACTAATTCTATGATTTTATGGTGGACATGTCAGAACTAGTTTAATATGTGGTTAAATAATGTGTGGTAACCATGGAGACCTGAGCAATGGTTTTCACAATGCGGCCAGCATGTTTTCACAGCAGAACAGGATTAGCTAGAGGCCAGGAAAAGTTAGTCTTCTTCTTCTCATGTCATTGAGACAAGCCAGAGCCAACAAAGGAACCACATTTAAATGGTTCCATATCTGGTTTACCTGGAACATCAAGGCAACAGCTTGTATTTGGCTAGCAACCTAATTTATTGCTGAATCAGGTGATGGTAACAGGAAGAAATTTCTCACACAGAATAGTAATTGAACCTACCATAATGGGCTCGGCTTAACAACAGACCTCAGACGATTCTCAGGTCTTACACTGTTGTATATTTGCCTAAAGACTGATAGAAGAGTATTAATTTGGGGAGGGCTTGATTGTTGGTGACATGTAAGTAAGGTTCACTAGGATGATGGTATGTCATATATATGTATATATACACATATGTATATATACATATATACACACATACATACATATCTATGTATATATGTCTTTATTCCTGTTTTCTTTTATCAACAATCTAAATCATGGGGTATTATAACCTTGAGAACAGCTAGTTTTTGCTTACCATGTTACCTAGTCCAGACTCTCGAGCTATGCCTGAGGGGAACAGGGAACCTAGTTCCAAATCCACCTAATTTTACTATTGTCTTTTCAGATAATGGAACGATGGGAGAATCAAGGCAGCCCTCAAACAAGTTTATCTGCTCCAGCTATACCACAGAATCTCCCCTTTCCAACCTCCCTTCACAGGAGTTCATTTCCTGACTCAACAGAGGCCTTTGATCCGAGGAAGCCTGACCCATATGAGCTATACGAGAAATCCAGAGCAATTTATGAAAGTAGGCGTAAGTGAAAGCCCCAAACAACCAAGGGTGCAGTTAATTGTGACTAATATTTGTTCCCAAATGTTTCAAGTCTGAGTTAGTTCAGTATTTTCTGCCTTATGTTTTAAAAGTAATTCAAATAGGAAGCCAACTAGTGTATTCTGTTCTAAAAGGGACTTCACATTCTGTCCGGACACATTCACCCCTATTAGTAGGCTATCTTAAGTTCCATATCTTCATTTTAGAACTCGTTTCCTATTACTGTTTCTCCTAAGCCCCCAAGCAAAATCAGAAAGTTATCAACTAGGAAGTTGTTTTACTTATTTGTTTTATTTTGGGCAACTCTAGCAAAATGATGAAGTATTATTTTTAACTGTATCTATTTATGAGTCTGTAGTCTAAAGCAATTTTTTTTCCAGCTTTCCACTGTGTAGCAAGATAAAGGACTTGAATGAGATGTTAATCCAGTCTTGCCTGATCTGAACCTAGCTGAATTTAAAAAAAATCACCCCTCACCACAGAAAAAAAAAAGAATATAGTATCAAAATCTCTTCTTTTAAGGAAGAAAAAAGTGTTTCAGTTATTACAATGAATTTAATTGAATCAATTTTGAAAACTTATTCTGCAAATAATATTATCTGAATATTTGCCCTACTATTCAAAAATCTTCCCGAAGGGTTCAGTGCATTTTTTAAAATGAAGGGGAAAAAACTTTTATTTGAGCATGTATGTAGATAGTACCTTTAACCAAATCATCACCCCAGATGATCTCATCAAAGAGTTTGAGAAAGAAAAAAAAAGATGAGTAGTATAAATATGCAAAGTGTTGATGGAACAAAACCCATGAAATATATGGTAATATGGTGTTGTGGAAAGAGCACTGGATTTTGGGTTTGGGGGAGAGGAGGGAAAAATGAAAGGAAAGTCATTGAGAAGTGACAGTAATGTAAAACAACATCAATAAAATATTTATTTAAAATTTGTGTTAACCAGCACCAAACTAGGCATCAAAAGGGCTGAGATTTAGTCCAACTCTGCCACTAATTATATCTTTGACTTTAAACAAATTACCCTCACCTGGCCTCAGTTTCCTTATTTATAAAGTGAGAAAATGTACTACATGATGCACAGGTCATTTTTATACCTCTAAAAAACCATTAACCTAATTAATGATTGAGAAACTTACTCTAATGAAAGTTCTTTTGTTCTTGGTATTCTCATTGACTATATGAATGAAGGTCTGTGCTTTGTTGCTCTAGAAAGCTCACTTGTGTGTTTATCATTAATAGAAAAGGAAGTCACAAGGCTTAAACTGTGTGCATTTGGACCTCAGGCAGCTTTCTCATATTGTAAGCCCAGCAATTGTGAGCAAAACACCCACAGTGGTAAAAGGAAAAAACAATACAGTGTTTCCTCACCCCACCCCTCAACACACACACACACACACGCACACACACACACACACACACCATTGCTTACAACTCATTGTAAAGAGTCACTTTGGTTGATTAAATCCTTAAGACAAAAGACTATCATGAAATAATTGTTCACCATATCAATATAGAGGCATTACATAATATCATGTCTTGGTTGTTGGATCTCATCTTTTTCCTTCAAAATGGTTTCTGGGTAGATAGCTGTCATGGTTATGGTATGATGTCGTAGCAACAACACCTGGATCTGAAGTCAAATGATCTCGACCACATAGGATCATAAATATAGAGCTAAAAAGGGACCTTAGAGGTTACTTCATTTAACTCCCTCATTTGACCAATAAGGCCAAAAGAGCTAAAGCGATTGCCCGAGGTCACTCAAATTATTCTAAGCGGTAGAGAGATGTTTTGCACTTAAATCCTTTGATTCCAGATCCATGGATGTTTGAGTCCAGTACCTGTTAGCTTTGTGACAACAAGCAAGGTCTTTCAATTCTTTGAGCCTCAGTTTCTTCTGCTGTAAAGTGGGGATGATTGCCCTGCCTAACTCACAAGGTTGTTGTAAGGAAAATGCTTCCTAAAATTTATTATATATGGAAGTTCTTATCTTTCTTAGCTTCAGTAAAGGAAAAAAAAAGGTGAAATTTAGGATGTTAGCATGAGCAAAATATAAAATTGGTAAACACCTTCAGGTCAAAGTTCCATTTCCTTTGTATAGTTCTTAGTGCCTTATTTATGTAAATAACACCAATAACTAACATTTACATAGCACTTTAAGATTAGCAAAATGCTTTACAAATATCTCATTTGAGCCTCACAACAACGGTTGTTATCCCCATTTTGCAGATGAGAAAAGTGAGACAGAAGTTGGACAGTTTGTACGTATCTGAATCACAATTTGAACTCATGTTTTCCTGACTCTGGGTCCAGTGTTCTGTACTCATTGCACCACCTATTACCCAACTCTCACCTGTGGCTCCAAGAAGCTATAGCATGCACAGTGGCCACACACCAGCAGATAGGCTAAACAAGGTGGAGGGTGACCAATAGGCCTCAAACCTGTTGGTGAGTTAGAGGACTGTCTGTCCCAAGCAAGGGAAGACTTTCCCCAGCAGAAGAAACGAACAGTTTGTTCCAATGGCCATGAAGGCAGTTGAAGCAGGTGCTGTGGAGTGCTTAGAGCTTAGTCTGATAGCAGAGACACCAAAGTCATCCAGTGCATCCTGGACCATCGCCTGTCGTCTTTACTTTTGTCTTGTCACTGGACTACAATAACTCTGGAAGAGAGAGTGAGGCTAATGACTGTGCAACTCTGCCTCACTTAAATCCAATTTATGGGCAAGTTAGCACATTACTCCATGATGTCTTTGGTCCTCTTCAAAAAAAGGACAAACAACAACAACCACTTACCAGCTTCTGAATCAAGCAATTGGAATTTTTTGAATGCCTATACCGTGACCAGGATTACATTCTTCTCTATTAAAAATACCAAAGTATTAACTCTGAGAAAGATTTCCATTTAGTCGAGGTAGATAATACATGTGAGATTTGTGGGAGACTCAGTCACTGCCTTAGAAGATAAAAGTGTATGGGAATCTTATAACAATAGTCCTTGGCTTGGAAAATATTTTTTAATATTTTTGTGGAAATATCAAAGACCATTTAGAAAGCATCATGATGTGGTGTAAAGAATTCTATATTTATAGTCAGAGAATTCAAATTTAAACCCTGATTCTTTATTACCTATGTGACTTTGAGCAAATCACCTAACTCCTCTGCGTTTTACTTAGTTTCCATATTATAAAATGAGGAATGAAGTAAATCATTGCTAAAGCACCTAGGATCCCTTCTAACTTTAAATCTGTAATCCTGTGACTCCTCTTATCTCACAGTTAATCTCCAACTGTCTATTGGACATCTTGACCTCAATAGATTAAGTTCAACATGTCCAAAACTGAACTTACTATCTTTCTACCCAAGGTCTGCCAATCTTCTTAACTTCCCTATTACTATTGAGGGCACCACCATCCTCTCAGTCTCCCAAGCTCACAATCTAGGTGTCATCTTCTACCCCTCACTCTCTTTCACTCAATCCCATATCCAATCTGTTGCCAAGTTCTGTTGATTTAAATTTCATAACATCTCTCATCTAGTCTCCATTCATCTCCTCCTTCTCTCTTTTGACCTTGCCAGTATGCTGGTACAAGCTCTCATCACCTCAAATGGTCTCTTGAAATAGCCTGCTGTTTTATTTCCCTAATACAAATCTCTCCCCATGTTCCACTCAGCTGTCAAATTGATCTTCCTATAATTCATGTCTTACTGTATTAACGGCCACCTCAATTAATTAAACTCCAATGGCATTTTTCCTGGCTTTCCCCCATATGTGGAATCCTCTCCTTCCTCATCTCTGTCTCTTGACTTCCTTTAAGCCCAAGCTAAAATTCCACCTTCTACAAGAAGGCTTTCTTAATCCTTCTTCATGCTAGCATCTTCCATTTGATCATCTCCGGTTTATCATGTATAGATCTTGTTTGTACAGAATGGTTTTTATGTTCTCCCTCCCAGTAGAGAGCGGAGACTTCCCTTCTGCCTTTCTTTGTATCCCCAACTCTCTATAATTCTGAGTTAATATTCATCTTCTTCCCCACCCAATGACAAGCAGCCCAAACTGATTGTGTCTGAGCCTCCACAATCTCTCTGTGGCATTTCTGCCCCACCTTTGCCTCCATTGCTGTATGATCATAGGATCAGAGATTTAAAGCCAAAAGGGAACTTAGGGGTGACAAAATCCAACACTCTCATTTCATAGATGAGGATATTAAAACCTGGAAAAATTAAGGGACTTGCCCAAGTTGACATAACTAGTAAGTGTCTGAGGAACGTTTTGAACTTTCTTCCTGAGGTCACATCCAGCAGTCACAGAATGACAGGATTTGAGAGTTGGAAGGGATCTTGGTAGCCATTTAGTGCAACTGACACACACAAGGAATCCCCACTCTAATAAGTGGCCACGAGCCACTTCTTGAAGACCCCCTTTTCCCGTCCAAACTTGAACGAGGCTATCCTGCCCCTTCCCTGCCATCTGCAAATCATACTCCCTATACTCTTTCCCTCCTCTACCTTCTACTAAAACTCAGATTCCAGCCCTAGATAGCCTTAGATTCTGATAGGTGAGTTTTCACCTTATCCTGCTTAGAACCAGGCTACAACATCCTGGCTCTCTTCAAACCCCTTTGTTTGCATCCTGGTCCACTGGAACTCAGACTCTTCCCTACCCCACCCCACCCCCAATACCCTAGGCCATTAAAGTGGAACTTTCATGTCCAAAACCAGACCACCAAACTAGCCCCCAGCCATCTTCAAATGATACCACGGTGGACTTCCTCCCCCTTTCTAATTTTAACTCCCCTATACGCTGTAGTGTGCTGGAGCCAGCTCATACCTGCTCTTGAGAGTCAACATGTTAGATTTTTCAGTATGAGCATTTGCACCTAAGAAATCAGCAAACATTACAAATCAGCACTTAATCTATTGTGTTGTTGATTATCTAGATTTAAGAACATGATAGAAAAAACGTTAATGTGT